GCCCACCCCCCCCTCAGACTCAAGAGGGTCAAACCTAGGACTCCAACACTGTGCTTGACCTTCCAGGCCTGCCGCCTGCCCTGGCCCTTTCCGAGCCGCAGGTGATGGCTATTGTTCTGACTTTCGGATTTGTCCTGAACAAGGGCCTGGTGTTCTCAGTCCTGTTTGTCCTTCTCCGGAAAGACAGGGCCTCAGGTGAGTGGGGGCCCAGGCTGGGCTTGGGGTGGAAATGAATGTGGGCACCCAGATGGTGGCTGCAGACAAGAGCTCAGAGGGGCCATGTCCCAGGGGTTCCCAGAGTTTGCCCCCTGACTTTTCCAACTTCTTTGTCCAGGAGGCAGGCCCAGCCCTGGGAACCTGTGAATGGCGCTGGTCCCAGCCTTGGGAACCCTGTGAATGGCGCTGGGCCGGGCTCACCAGGACAGGAAGACCTGGGGGTGGGAGCGGCCAGCATGGTTTTGGCTACTTGGCAATCAGTCTTTTCTTCAGAGGAGGGAGGGAGGGAGGCTGAAGCCAGGACTGACATGGATGGATCACCTGCAAATGCTGTCTATGTCTCTCACTCCTCAGGCGAGCCAAACCCAGGGGAGCAGCAAAGTCACCCTTCCAGGAGCTGACGGGCATGCCTTCCTCCCGTAGCAAACATCAGATCCGCTCTTGTTCCCCAAATGAACAAATAAACTGATCTCTCAGCAAAGTACATGGCTTCCTAAAATTCTTTTGTGAGGTCTCTGCCCAGCCCCTTTCTTACTGAGAGAAACGTACTGAGCGGGAAGTGTGGGGAGCTGGGAGGAAGGTGACCCACTGAACTAATCAGAGGCCAAGAAAATGGCAAACTATCTTTTATAAAAAAATAAAAGCATAAGATGCCAATTAGACCGGACAGCCTTACAACCTTCTGGATGTTATTCCGGACATCCTTCTGGACGAAGCCATGGCGGCAGGGGCAGAGGCAGAGGCAGTTAGGGGAGATCAGGCAGGCAGGCAAGTGATTAGGTGCAATCAG